TCCACCCCCGCGGCTCGCCTCCCGCAGCCGTACCCGTCGCCCTGGGGGTCTGTCCAACTCCCCTGGTGCCCGTCCTCCGCTCTCCACGGCCTCTCTCCCGCCCTCCCCTCTCCTCCTCCCTGCTCCGCCCCTGCCGCTCCTCTCCCGCTCTCTCTGTTTTTCCTTGCTTGACTCTTCACTCCCGCGCTCTCTTCTCTTCCTCCCCGCAGCCTCTCCGTACCCATCCGTAGCCCTGTGTGTCACATCCCTTCCTCTTAGGTCTCCTCCGGGGGCTTTTGTCCTTCGTTGCGTGACCTCCATTCGCTGTCCTGATGTGACTCCTCTGCCATGCTCCCTCACCCCTGTCCCTCCGGGCCTCTCCTCTTTCACTGCCCGCGCCCCGGAAAGAGTGGGTGGGGCCTGCGCTCCCCTGTTTACATCTGTGGGACTCGCTCCCTGTCTAGTACCAGGGAGTGGAGAGAGTTGGTAAAGAGATTTATGCCAGACTTTGAAGAAGGGTGGGTGCCTATTTTACTGTCCTCGTAGCTTAACAAGATGGCTTGTCAGGGCCCTGGCACGGTGTCCACTAGTTCTTAATAGTATACGGCTATATTTGCAGATGATTTAGAAATATGTTTGTATTCCGAAACCAGCAGAGAGCCTCAAAATAATATGTATCCTGACCTGAGAGCCGTTTTGACCTAGATTGTTGGTGCAGGAAATTTTAATATGTGTCTTGTGTTCAAGTTCAATATAATCTTTGATCTTCCATGTCTTCCCTTAGTGAAGTCGCTGTGGGTGAGGTGATGCAGGACACCAGCCTGCTGTTCTGCCTCATATTTAACCTTTCACGAAAGGAGATTCTGCTCTCTAGCTGTTTTCCTTCTCAAAAAAAAAAAATCTCTTGAGTTGTAACTTTTCAAATACCGGATCTGACCATACTTCCTGGATTTTGTTTGTTCATTGCACCTGCATTTACATCTTAGGTACAAGAAGAAGGAATGGAATTGGAAGGAAGAAAATCCATTCCAGAGGCAAAATAGATCCCCTCCTCTGTTGTAGCTGTTCTCTCACAATACAAATTTTCTGCTTTCAGTGAGTATTATCTTGGACATATATAGAATGGAATGTCATTGGTTCTTTTTGGTTCTAGGCTTCTGTAGGTGTACTTCCTTGATTTTGTGTTTTACTTCCAAGGAGGCAGGAGATTTCCCACAATAGTACTTACCTGACAGTCTGAAAGCCCTTGGGGGTACGATCCCCAGCACTGCAAGAAGCAAGAAACATTCTTGTGTACTACTTGAGGCGAAGTCCTGATGAAGTTCTTCTGCTTGCTCATTTTAAAATAATTTAAATATGCCAAGACAAATTTGTTTAGTTTGTTGGTAGTGGGGCTTGAACTACGGGCCTGGGCGCTGTCCCTCAGCTCTTCAGCTCAAGGTGAGCGCTCTACCACTTGAGCACAGCATCACTTCCAGCTTTTTGGTGGTTAATTGGAGAGAAGAGTCTCACAGACTTGCCTGCCCAGGCTGGCATTAAATTGCTATTCTCAGATCTTAGCCTCCTGAGTAGTTAGAATTACCAGCCTTAGCCACTAGAGCCCAGCCCAAGACAAATTTATATTCCATTAACTGGTTAAGAGTTGCCAGGCATGAGTGATTGAATGTCTGTAATCCCAGCACAAGAAGATCTTGAGTTAGCTAGGGCTAGCTTGGGCTGGTATTTGTTTTTTGGAGTTTTTTTGGGGGTCTTTTTTGGTCAGTCATGGGGCTTGAACTCAGGGCCTGAGCACCGGTGGTCCCTGAGCTTCTTTACTCTTATCTACTCTGTTGAGCCACAGAGCCACTTTAGGTTTTCTGGTGGTTAATTAGGTTGGCTTTGAACCATGATCTTCAGATCTTAGCCTGCAGAGTAGCTAAGGTTATAAGCGTGAGCCACTAGAGCTAGGCCCTGGGGTGGTCTTAATAAAGTAAATGAAAACAAAACCATTAGCATGACCTCAGTGGTAAACTATAGCGTTGTATTTCCTTTATGATTTTAGCCTATATGATGTGGCTTCCCACTCTGTCCACTTTACTTTTTTTCCCCCCCTCAACGCTAGCTTTCTACCACCTTGAATCACAGCTCCATTCCCCAACTCTGGGTACTTAATTGTAGATCAGTCCTGGAGTTTCCTGCCGAGGCTGGATTTTAACCAGGATCCTCTGATCTCAGCCTCCTAGTAGCTAGTATTATAGGCTTGGGCCACCAGTGCCCAGCCCAAATTACTTTGTAAAGACAACAAAAGAGATTTAAAATTTTTTTGGGGGGGGGTTGTGGGGCTTGAACTCTGGGCCTGGGCGCTGTCCCTCAGCTCTTCAGCTCAAGGCGAGCGCTCTACCACTTGAGCTACAGCGCCACTTCCAGTTTTCTAGTGGTTTATTGGAGATAGGAGTCTCACGGTCTCTCCTGCCCGGGCTGGCTTTGAACCGCGATCCTCAGATCTCAGCCTCCTGAGTAGCAGGATTATAGGCGTGAGCCACCGGCGCCCGGCTGAGATTTTAAATTTTAACTCCAAGGTTAATACAGCGGTTTCAGATCATAGCTCTGCTTCTATCTTTTTCTGGTGGTTAATTGGAGATAAGAATCTATCTCATGGACTTTCTTAAATGGGTGGGCTTTGAACTGCTGTCCTCAGATTTCCACCTCCAGTATAGCTAGGATTATAGGTGTGAGTCTCATTCACATGATTGTCGTTGTTTTGTTGTTTGCCTGTGCTGGGGATTGAACTCAAGGCCTGGACACTGTTCCGGAGCCTCTTGTGTTCAAGGCTAGCCTTCTACCACTAGAGACCCAGTGCTACTTGTAGCTTTTTCTGAGTAGTTAATTGAAGATAAGAGTCTCAAAGACTTCCTGCCTGGGCTGGCTTTGAACCACCATCCTCAGATCTTAGCCTAACTTATATGTTTTAATCTTCACATATTTTGGAAATATTTAGCATTAAGTCTGCTGTGGCAGTATTTTTTAAAATCCTATCACAGATTTGAAAATAGCTATAGTTCTACATGTAAATTTTGTTTATGATGTTGTAAGGGAAAAAAGAATGGCAACATTCTAATCTGTTCCTTGGTTGGCTTATTTGTTTATTCTAGTACTAGAGCCTAAACTCTGGGCTTTGACACTATCCATTAGCTTTTTAAAAAGAAGCCCAAGGCTGGCACTCTACTGCTGGAGTGACAGCTCTACTTCCAGTCTTTTTTTTTCCCCTGAGTAGTTGGAGATAAAAGTCTTACAGACTTTCCTGCCTAGCTGGCTTTGAACAGGATCCTTATATGTCGGCCTCTTGAGTAGCTAGGTTTACAGTTGTGGATCACTGGAGCCGGGCCCTTCTGGGTTTTTTAATAATAGTATTTTGGGAGTGTTGCTTAATGGTAGAGCACTTGCCTGGAATGCTTAAGGCCCCTGTGTTAATGTTTTCTCCCCAGCACTTTTACCTGTGAGTTTTTCAGAGTGCTTTCCATCTTGTTAGAGCCTCCCAACCCTTTGAAGGAGACAAGGGACAAAAGCTTCCATTTTACAAATGAAAGAACCAAGGCCAAGAGAGCTCTGCCACCTTGCCAGAAGTTACACTGAAAAAGAAGAGCGACTAAAACCAAAACTTTCAACTCCTCCATTCCATTGTTTTTTTAAACCTCATATGGAAATGTAGTTTTCAGAGTGGATATGTTTTTAGTTTTTATTGTGAAAATACCGTACAGAGGGGTTACAATTACATGAGCAAGGTAATGAGTACATTTCTTTTTTTGGGGGGGGGGGAGGTCCGGTTGTGGGGCCTGAACTCTGGGCCTGAGTGCTGTCCCTCAGCTCTTCAGCTCAAGGCTAGCGCTCTACCACTTCCGGCTTTTTTTCTCTTTGCTTATGTGGTGCTGAGGAATTGAACCCAGGGCCTCATGCATGCAAGGCAAGCGCTCTACCACTGAGCCAACTTCCCAGCCCATGAGTACATTTCTTATCAAGCATTGTTGCCTCCTCCTTTGTTTCCCCTTCCTATCCCTTCCCATCTCCCACCCCCCGTGATTTTTTTTAATATACATAAATTATAAAGGTAGTAGTTTAGGTAGATCTGTATTTTGCAGGGGAAATATTCATAAATCAAATTGTGTATGTGTGTGTTATGCTTGACAGTTTCAAAGCTATAGAAATAATTATTTGGGATGGTTACAGAATGTGGGCTCTTCATGTGACTGTCCTGGAATAGTTCCATAAATAGGCCAGAATTATAGCTCAGGTGCCACTTCAGTGCCCATAATGTAATTATTAAATTCAATTTCAGCTCAGCTCTCCGTGCCACAAAGGAAACAACAGACTGCTTGTCTAAGGAGGGCTTGATTTGAACAGTTAACTGAAGTCTATAGTAAAAATGTGGAAACCACTTGCTTCTTTGCCTCTTTCCCACCTCCCAAATCCTTTTTGGTTTTTTTTTGGTGCTGGTCCTGGGGCTTGCACTCAGAGCCTGAGTGCTGTCCTTGTTCTTTTTTCTTTCTTTCTTTTTTGGGGGGAGGAGGGGTCCAGTTGAGGGCCTGAACTCTGGGCCTGGGCGCTGTCCCTGAGCTCTTCAGCTCAAAGCTAGTGCTCTACCACTTAAGCCACAGTGCCACTTCTGGCTTTTTTTTCCTGCATGCCTCATGCATGCAAGGCAAGCGCTCTACCACTGAGCTACCTTCCCAGCCCCTGTCCTTGTTCTTTTGTGCTCAAGTCTAGTGCTCTAGTGCTTTGTTGGTGGTGGTGGTGGTTGTGGGGCTTGAACTCTGGGCCTGGGTGCTGTCCCTCAGCTCTTCAGCTCAAGGTGAGCACTCTACCACTTGAGCTACAGCGCTGGTGGCTCAAATGGTAGAGCGCTGGCCTTGAGCACACTGAGGCTTGGACAGAGCCCAGGCCCTGAGTTCAAGCCCCAGAACTGCCCCCCCCCCCAAAAAAAAAAGGGCTGGGAATATGGCTTAGTGGTACAGTGTGCCTAGCATGCATAAAACCCTGGGTTCAATTTCTCAGTACCACATAAACCGAAAATAATAATAATCTTTAAGACTACAAAGTAGCTGTTAATAACATTGTAGTATAAGATTGCATATTTCTCTTGGAATTGGAAGAAGACAGCTATGCTCTTTTTTTTTTTTTTTTGTCAGTCATTGGGTTTGAACTCTGGGCCTAGGCGCTGTCCCTCAGCTCTTCAGCTCAAGGGTAGAGCTCTACTATTTGAGCCACAGCACCACTTCTAGCTTTTTCTGTTTACGTGGTGGTAGTACTGAGGAATTAAACCCAGGGCCTCATGCATGGAGGCAAGCACTCTGCCACCACTAAGCTACCTTCCCAACCCTAGAGCTATATTCTTTTTTTTTTTTTTTTGTAGGTCATGGGGCTTGAACTCTGGTGGGTGCTGTCTCTTAGCTCTTCAGCTCAAGGCAAGTGTTCTACTGCTTGAGCCACAGCACCACTTCCAATTTTCTGGTGTTTTATTGGAGATCAGAGTCTCATAGACTTTCCTGCCCTGGCTGGCTTTGAACCGTGATCCTCAAATCTCAGCCTCCTGAGTAGCTAGGATTACAGGCGTGAGCCACCAGTGCCTGGCTAGAGCTATGTTCTTTTTATAACCAATGCTGTTTCTATTGGTAGAGATAAAGATTATATTAGTACTAGTAGGCACTTAATAGTTATGTGCCAAAGGACCTTTTGGTGTCTTATCCATTGAATGATTATAAATAACACTTCATGGTAGCAGGTCTGCAGAAATGTTAACAACTTGCCTGGGTTTGTACTCAGCCTTTAACATTGGTATTTGAACAGAGTCTACAGTTACACTCTCACCCCAAATTCTAAGCTTGCCCTCTGTTGTTTTCTTTTTTTTAAAAGATTTAGTAGCCTTGGAAGGTGGCAAGGAGGAACGCCCTCTGTAGTCCTTGGGTTCTGACATAACTCCACAGTCAGCTCACAGTAGAACCAAGGAGCTACATAAATTGGGCTATATATAGCTCTTTATGTTTTGAATGAGGCAAACTTAAGCCAGGTGCTGGTAGTTCACAGCTATAATCCTAGCTACTGAGGAGGTTGAGATATGGGGA